TTCAATACGGTATATGGACTTTTGGTACATATTCAATTTAGTCCCCGCACTTTATGAAAATGTTCAATATTATCCATGAACTTGAATTAACGGAAGAGCAATATCGAACATTTTCATATAGTTTAGAGACTAAATAGAACATGTAACAAAAATTCAGAGATTATATTAAATAAATTAAAAATTCATGGACCACATTGCACAAATTTAAAGTTCAGATACTACATTACATATCGGGCCAAAGTTTATGGATTATTTGTGTCATTATCCCAACAATTTATCATATACGATGATGGATAACCAAAGACATAAAAAGAATAGATAAATTCACATTAATTACTCAAAAAATTTTCATTCTGCTTGAGCGAGATAATTGACCCCTATCACTTGGATAAATTGTCCAGAATGCCAGGCCTCTTCACGCTTATCCCAATTTGAATATGTCACCAATCTCATGATAGAATAATTTTTATATTGTCGAATCTTTTATCCAAGCAACCAAACGTGTCCTTAGCATCTCAACTGTTAACACGAATTGACATTGTTCAACACGTCCTTAAAAATAAATGTTGTCAAATCCAAAATGATATGAATATAAAATACACAATATTTACGTGTTCAATATGAGTATAAAATTTTGTAATGACTCAACCTAACATAACCCGAATTTAAGTACACATGACCACGAATTTTCAACTCTCGAATGTTAGGTAGTTATTAGTTACAAACCATACATGCACTTCATCAAAATTCTTCTAAAACTTACAATGCGTTTGATTGCAGTAACGACTATTACACGATAGGCCTCTTACGGGTTGATTGTCTATTAAAATATTTGCTTATAATAATAGTTATTACGGTGTGATCATATATTCTTTTTTGTTTTAATTCTCTTTTTAAGTAGGCAAGACTAGTCTTAGGATTCAATTTGACATCACTCGACATGGGTTTTGACAAGTTTATGAAAACAAATATTGTCAAATCTAAAAATGACAAGATTTTAAAATACATAATATTTCAACAAGAGCACAAAGTTTTACGACGACGCTACAGCATATGGCATAATTTTAAGTACGACACGAAAATACGAATTGCTAGCATTTCATGGGATGTGCCACTTTAAATTCGGTTTCTGCATGGTTGGAACTCTTTAATAGAGCCAGCTCCAGGGGGTGCTGGAGAGAGTCTCTGTAGACCTCGACTACTTCTTGTATGATATACGAATTGTCGGTCTTCCTCTAAACATATTCTGCTTGAGCCTTATCAAATGGAAAATTATTAAGTGCACCAGGAGCACAGAGGGCCATTTACAATGACGTCCATTCGGATGCACCGAATACTTCTCATAGGAGATTCGATATATTCTTCATATGAGAATCCGCTAACATTAAATTTATCAAGTATAAGCGTGTGATGATATTTTAGTTTTTAAGAAATGAACATTGTGTGTATAAGATTCCCTATGCAAATAATCGCATATTTTTGTAAATAGGCATCATTGTACAATTGTACTGGAAACTGACATAACGATTTTATTTGGATGGGCTTAGTGGGCGCATCACGACCATCATCAGTTGAATACTTTCTCAAGTCAATGTCCTGGATTAATTGGACGCCATATAATTGTCAGACAATTCATTTATACTTTTCCTTGTACGCGTTAGCAGAAGACATGTGAACTAGAAATTGGCAATGGTCATCTCCAGTTTATTTGTTGCAAATTCTTCAGCGTGGATACATGGCATGGCACTATCTCGACCTCGCATGTCATATGCATAAAATATCATCACGAATCGGTTGGAGGTAGTTAATCCGGCGACTCTTCTTCCAAAGAATAGATTCACGATTGTTGTTGGATACCAATCCATCAACCCTCGACCTACTTGTATTTGCTATCCCGTCCATAACGTGATGAATTAGACACACACGCTTTATGGAAAAGGAGTGAGATCCCTTTAAGAATTATGAATAAATTTAAATACTAAATTTATTCATTGTAAAATTGATACATCTTTCCATTTTTTTTCCTTCCCTTTTTTCGTTTTCCCTCTTTTCATCCTCGACTTTCTCTGCGCGTGCGTGTGGTCAAATTAGGCCGCGACACCAGATTGGATGTTGCCCCGCCTCGGAAGACCCTGGCTCGAGTCTGGGGCTACTGCTCGAGTGAGCTGCCCTGACATTGTTTGCACCAAGGCTGGGGGTGGGGTGGGGTTTGTGGGACGAGGAATGACAGTGGAGTGCGACAATTGAGGTAGCTGGAGGCGCTGCGAAGAACAGAGAATTCAACAACGTCTATATCAGACATCTAACATTTCTCACACACCTCTGCACGAGGAATATGCTCGACGAGTCGCATCGTCGCAATTCATCTCTACTCAGTACGATGAAAAAGGGCACCACTTTCGGCGCGTAGACGAAAAAAAGGGGCACGCTTCAGCGTACACAATTTAACCGATCCACCGGTTCACAAAATATGCGCATGCATGCCGGCATTTTCACACTTCGACAAGCGACGCTCCAAAACGGGTTCTGTCGTTCCGAATCCATTGAATAACAGAGCCCTTCATATCGGAATCAAGGAACTTTCTCATTCGGAACACGAAATTCAAGAAGCAACCCCTCCCCCAACCCCCCCCCCCCCCAAGGGACAAGAACAATACTTTGATCTGAGGTGCGAGCTTTGCCCAACCTTTTCCCTTAGTTTCTGTCAGTGGCTTTGGGCAGACCATGACCATCCATGTCATTATGGTCAAACCGTCGATCGGTCTCCTCACATCACATTGGCCATGTCAAAATGTGAAAACCAAGCAAAGCCTATGATTATGAGAATAATAACTACACAGTTGTAGATTAAATGTAGGTGGCAACAAAAAAGGGCGGGGAGGTGTGTGGGAATCATGTCTCTTGGCTTTGGGAATCCAACCCCCCCACCCCCACAGCCACGACCTACACTGTCCGAAGACCACCAAGCAAAGCCACGACATCGACCATGTCAAGGCGCCGCACAATGTCCGAGCACCACCAGCGCGGCCTCATAATGGTGGTCTCTCTCTCTCTCCATCTTCTCAATATCAACAAGGTAGTCTTTGAAGGCGAAATGCCTATAAATTTGGAAGCTCCACCGTCGAGCCTCCACATCTAGGGGCAACTGCATCGATCGGCTCAATTACGGTGGAGGAGACGCCAAGCTTTGCTAGAAAGGAAGCTAATTGCAAATGTAACCATGGTAGAGAGAGAGAGGTTGGTATTTGGGATTTGACCGCGATTTTATTGGGTGTTATGAGATTAGAGTAAAGTAAAAACATGTTTACAATCTTGTGAACGAGACAACATATCAAAACGTTACATGAAATAGACGATCGAGAACCATTTCGTTCATTTTGTTCCCAAAATGATTCCATGAGATTTGGAAGACCGTCTCCTCCTAGTTTAATCAAGCTTGATGTAATGCGATTTAAAAGAGAAATTTGAAAATGAATTGAAGGCAGAGACAGCTACTAAACCTTTAATCATCTATTCACATCCATTGAAATTGCTCCCGTAGTGGCTTTCCTCGTCTATTCATTTACTTTCCCACAATCCCAAATTATCAAACGAATTAATGAAATCAAGTTGATTAAACTTCGTTTTTTTGGCACCTGTGTAGTGCGTGCTTTAAAACTAGTCTCCTCAAATTAAATTAGAAAGGTAACCCAATTTTTTTGTCAATAAAATAATTAAATTGAAGCGTGGCATAATTAATCATCTTATTATAGTAAGATTGGGCTTTCGAGTGAAAATTGTTTGAATTCAACATGTATTGACAAAATAACAAGACTCATGCTAGGCCGAAGATATTTTTGAGAGTTTTTATATAATTGGCCTTGTCACGATGATAAAATAACAACCATTCCATGAAGTAAATGCAAAAAGACCGGTAAATATTCTCTACCATGCTGGGCCTTGCAATTGATGTCTCGATCACAACTCAATCATTAGGGGGAAATTACTACGGAAGTTCTATACCTATGACACTAATGCCAATTCAGTCTTAAACCTTTTAATTTGATCAATTTGGCCAATTTAGTCTTAAACCATACGACAATTTCTCAATTTAGTTCTAAACCTTTCAGCTGTGCCAATTTAAGTGTGATCCTCATTTAATCAACATAAGCAATTCACACTTTTACTGCTTTTGTGAGCAAGCAGTTGGTTTCCATAGAGATTGCTGGAAAGTTCCAATTCTTCCAATTCTAAGCTCCGGTAGCAAGTCCGGCACGGATCTTATCAATGGAATTCATTACTCAAAACACCAATCTCAATTGACAAGGTGAACGGTGGAATTGTTCTTAAGAACTTGTGTCTGTACATGCATAAACGATGACTATAAATTTCAATATTTCCTAGGAGCATGATGGATAAAAAAATCGGAAGAAGGCGTGATTAACGTGGCTTATCATATAAACCGACTAAAGAGGGGTGAAAACCACAGAAGTTAACAGCTTGGAACTAATGGCAGAAGTCAATTTCACAGTTGTTTTAAGGGAAAAATTCAGTCAACCTTAATTACACGATTTAGGGGAAAAATTCAAAAGGTTACTAGATGAGGTTACCCTTTACCAGTATGTGCGAGTCAGATACTTCCTTTCGCGAGAGTAAAAGAGAGGAAGGGCACTTGGGAGCTGTCAACTCGTGGGACCAGCAGGCACAAGATCCTCTTAGAAGACAAATCTAATCAGCAGTAATGCCCCATACACTGTAAGCAAAAAAGAAGTACATAAACCTTAATTACACGAGTCCCTCCCTCGAAATCAAACACAAAATGAGCGAGAACCAATCTAGAATCATGCTTAAAAGGTGTAATGTCATAAGATTTTCCTACTTCGAATTTGCCCAAACCGGCTATTGCTGCTTCCAATTATAGCACCGAGATGGTGGGGATCGAATTTGAGAAACTCCGCGCACAATTTCGAACAAAATCAGAACAAACAACAGGTACTTGCGACAGTTTTTAAGAGACTCACCGAAAAAGGCGGCGTTCCAAGGCTAATTCAATGAGATACTTTGTTCATCTCTGTCGCAAACAGCACGGCATCCTCAACATACCCAAACCCACTAACTGGTGACCATAACATCGCATCATAATTTATAAAAGAGGAGCAATGTACCTCCGATTTCAAAAAAGCCATCCTCCCACATAAGGGTGCTGAAGTGACATAGAACTTACTAAAAGGGGAGATCAATTCCAGTTCTTACTGAGAACCTATTGCATCCTCTTTGTCACACTCATATACCAAGCTTAAGATCTAAACTATGCCCCGTTAGATCAATTTCAGTAAAACTAATCATCAGCTCAACAGACAATGATATGCTTTCTGAGGGACATAATGCTAGCTAGAAAATTAAGGTCCTCCAATTAAGTTCATCTTTTAATGGAAGTTTCCAAGCAAGCTAAGTATACAGACTCATATCACCAACAGCTGCAAAAAGATTTAAACAGACAATGATATGTTTATGTTAATTTCAGCACTGCCGAATGCTGAGGCAGAATGAACTCCATGAGATTGGAGCGAAGTGAAAAATGGTACACTCTTTTCTTTCTCGGGGTGGAAAGCAAACTCCAGCAGTCTGTCAATGGTCATAGAGGAATCATATTAAGAAAAAGCAACATAGGATCGTACTAGAAGTCTAGACAAACGAATCAGCAGAAAGATCTCTGAGGATACCTTCAACTCATTGTATGCAGAATAGTATTGAGGATACCTTCCCCTTGGTCCCCCTACAGCTTCTCGCCATGTATCTATCAATGCCAATGACTTCTCCATCACATTAAAATCTGGTTGCACAGAGCATGTAGAAACAGCAAATGACAATCCCATAAATGAACAGATTCATAATAAAAGTCAATCATGGGGTATAGAGTAGGCACCTTTTTGAACACCATTCTAACCATTTCCTGTACGATATCAGACTCAATAGTGTTCTGAAATACACTATTGCCACAGTTTTTGCTAAGAGTCTCCATCACCTACTTGAAATTGATAACCAAATATTTTAGCAAAGTGATAGCCACCTCTTGTAGCCATTTAGAAGAAAGAAAAGAAGAGAGCAACTGGATCCAGAACTACGCACATATATAGAAAGCAGAGCATGATACTGACATAGAGGATCAGAAGCTGTATTTTTGGATCTTTATTCCCCAGGCGCTTCTTAAGGATCTTCATCACCTCCTTTACCTTCCTACAGAAGTTAAACCAATTCAGCGACTAAACCAATATCTTTGACGAAGAAATAACATGTAAGGAACCAGCAAAAAAGTAGTTGCACAATACAATAACTTCATTACTAAGATCCATTACATCTTGGAAGTTGGAATACCCCCAGTCTTTTTTCTTCTCTTATGGAAAGTACAAGTAAAACTACACTAATAAAATAATTTTGAAGAACGAAGCTGCTAAATGTTTTAACAACGCATAAGGACGATGCTATTGAGTATTGGGGGTGCTAACATGTACAGATCAATGCTCTCTCCAACATGTATGATTGCCTATCAAACTCCATATGTCAAAAAATAGGGACAGCAAATAGCAGCATATTTCTCCAGCTTGTTGGCCATATGATTTATGTCATAATTTATCTCCCTCTTTCGTGTGAACACTCCAAGATAGATTTTAGAGATAATTGATACATACATACATACATACATATTTTTTTGATATAGAAACATCTCAGTAATTGTGAATTTTCGAGCATGAGTATGAAGTTTTAATCATCATTTGGAAGTACAATCATACTCCCTGCAATTGAGAAACAATATTCAAATTCAGCAAGTTACATAACATGTTTCAGCATGGCATTCATGTCTTTATATTATAGTGATAGATGATAGTAAAAAAATGCATAGCATGTTTGGGATAAGGGTTATTTGTTTTCAGTAGCCTTCAACTTATTACGCAACTGTCTTACCAAAAAAAAACTTATTACGCAACTTTTGTATCTCGACATCCCACCTCGCACTTTTTTTTTTTCCATTTTTTCAGGTAAGAAGCAGCATTATCTTAAAACTGGGTCAGTCACACAATGCTTTTTGTTGCTCTTTAGTAAAGAACGAAAAGTTAATTGAATCACCCCAAGGATTTACATTTCTAAATAAATTCATGATTCATAAGCTGTGTAAAGTTGGACTCCTTGGAATTTCTGGAAGGGTAAATTAAAGAGTCCATCAAAGACAGAGAGGCCGATGGATCACATTGTTACAAACAGCAACGGACCAGCAATACTTAGTTCCAAAATCGAATATGCCAGGATGTATTCATCTAAGCATTTAGAAAGAGAGAGAGAGAGAGAGAGTCTTTCAATTACAGGAATTATCACGGTACATTTCCGGATTCCTAAGATATGTTTGTCATAGGTTGATTCGGTTCAACAATTCAAACGGAAGCATATTAAAGGAACTCCAGAAAAGGGGCCGAGAGAAAATTCAGCCCCTCCATTGGTAGTAAATCAAAGAAAACCTGAGCAACTTCAAACATCCAAAACTAAGCCATGCCACCACGCCAATGCTTATAAAAAATCACAAGTCTGCCCATTGGGGGGCTTCTATCAAGACAGATTTCTCAGTATACTAACAAGCCATCCCAATCGTTACTGGTACAATCAAAATCAACTTTCCCCATACAAAGACACTTTCAAGCTTCAAATTGCCGTAGGATCCAGCTAACAACTAACAGGGTCAAGCGATTATGCAAAATTCCAAATCAAAATATCGAAAGAGAAGAAAAAAAGGGAGGACATAGGAATACCTACCCTGGGTATCGTATAGTTCAATGTTAATACCCCATTCAGGGCCAATCAACAGATCACCCGTCGTCCTCTCGGCACAATCTACTGCATCCATAGCCTCTGCCTCTTTACTTCAAGGTTATCTTGCAAGTATTCCTGACGAGATCGACCCATCCAAGATGTCAATTAATATGAATTCAAATTCCATAAAAATCCAAGCTAAAGTTAAAAGATACCCGCTACTAAGATTTGATCAAGGAGGAGCCAAAAGATCACATTTTTTTTTTCTGAAAGAGTTGAATTTAAATTTGGCCACTTCAGTAATGGGAACTTTTTTGGAAATTTCCATCAATGAAGGATCAGCCACTGCCCAGCCTTCTACCACCGAAGGAAGGCTCCCCATCCGCGAAAAAAAAACCGAGTCAAAGGGCTTGGACCTTCAAAGGAAATGTCAAAGGGGAGGGAAGTTGCGCTCCCAAGAAACAGCTGAGCGAGCTTTTATCAAGGATAGTTGCAGACGCTACTGAAACTGGTGCAGCCACCAGTGCACGAAAGCAGCTAACTCTTAAACTCAACGACCACAACCTGGCCTTGAGAGAGAGAGAGAGAGAGAGAGAGAGAGAGAGAGAGAGAGAGAGAGAGAGAGAGAGAGAGAGAGAGAGAGAGAGAGAGAGAGAGAGAGAGAGAGAGAGACGGGGCCACGGTGGTGGTGGAGTGCGACGGTGGGTATGGCGGCTATAGAAGCGCCGCGAGGCATCATCGACCATGTCAGGGTATCGGTGGCTGCCGGGGGGCTCAATCGCATCAGAGAGCTCAATCGCATCGGAGGAGGAGACGCCAAAGCCTTGCCAAAGAGAGAAAGGGAAGCCCAAATAATCATCACGGACACAATTATTATTATTATTAAAAAATAAATAAATAAATAAGCGATGAGAAATTTGTCAAAATTTAATTATAAAAAAAAAGGACGAGAGACGGTGATCTTAAATCCAAATTGTGGGAGGGACGGGTTTATTTATTGAATTGGGCCCTTGCAATTGCAGCCGTTGCAGTTGGAAGATACAAACGAGAGGTGAGGTTACAGAGAGAGAGAGAGATGCTTATTTGCTGCTGTGGTCGTTTTTGTTTTCCCTTCATCTTCATTTTAACACCACCCCATCCCCACATTACAGGAATCCCAACACCAGAAAATTACATAACTATGGAAAGACAAACGAAGCCGCTTTTTTTTTTATTATTAAAAAAAAAAACAATATTAAACTTATCAGCCTCAACTCACTCACTCACTCGGCCCCCCACGAGGTAGGAATCTAATCTGGGGTATATACCAATGCATGCCTTTCACTTTACGCACCGCCTCTGCGAATGTCATTTCTTCTTCGAGGTCTATGCCAGGCAACTGCAAAGTGACCCGGGCAGTGGGGTCCCACTCAAACCCGGCCCACCAGTCTTTTTCTGCTACGACCACGAAGCTTCCCCTCGCGCTGCTCGAGTCCAACGGCAACTTTCTTAGACCAGGGCACTTGTCTATGTCGAAGCTTAGCCCATGGGGAAAGGATAGAGCCTGGTCGCAAATGCTCGTTAGTTTTGGAAGTTCGACGAGTCGTAGGGATTTGAGACGTGAGAATAGTCCCGAATCAGCTAATTCCTCCCTTGCAAATCCATCCCCAATGATTCTCTCCATCGAATTGCAGAATACGACCGTCAGCTTCCGGAGCTTCGGAGCATGCACGAGCCAGGACAAGTCCGAAAGCCCGCAGTTGTTGACCCAAACATCAACGAGATTGGGGAAGCAAGAGCAGTTTGGTGCTTGTCCTATTCCTTGAGTTATCTTTATCTCACTCAGCTTGGTAAACTGAAGTAGATAAAGCGTCTCTAAATGCGAGAAACCGTCAATGCTTGCTGGTGAGTAAGTTATTACAATGCTAGTCAAGTTACCATTCCTATTAACAATGTACGCTCTCCTTATGCGTCTCCATAAATTTAGGGATTGGAATATTTTCTGAGCAGAGGAAGACTCGCGCACGCTGATAGATAAGTCGGTGAGATGTTGCATGCACTCTAGTTCCTCCATCGTCTCTTCTTCCTTCACTAAACAACATTCCGATTGAGGATTTTCTTCCTTCACTAAATTACATTCCGTATGAGGATTATCGGACTCCCACAGGCTGAACACATTCAACGGTAAGCTTGGATTGCCCCTGTCGGAATAAAGATGTTTCTTTCCAACATATTGTCCAGTAGCAACCACCGTAAACGAGTCAAGTTCTTGATTTCTTTGGGTAATTCACTAATATCGGTGGCCGACAAGTTCAAGTACTGTAGATTAATCAGATTGCAAATCCCTTCGGGGAATGACTTGATATGTTTGTTGTTGGACAAGTTCAGGACCGCCAGACAAGTCGTCATCGAGTTGAAAAATCCACTTGGCAAGATAGTTCCCTTACAAACAAAGTTTCAAGCTGGGAACACCTGAATGGTATTTGGTCGATTTTCCGAATCCATTCTCCCCATATAGATACTTTCTTTGCTTCCCCACATTTGGAGATCACGGACATGTCTTCTTCTCTCTCTATCACTAGCAACTTGCTCTCCCTTTGCCCATGGTCACGAGCGATCCACGTCGCCATGTCGCGGATGACATCGTGCATCTTTACGTACTCTCTTCTGCCGTCATGCCCACTCTCCAATAGGCAAGCCCTATTTAACCTCCCCAAGACATGCTCTCCCTCATTACGCAAACTGTATACATCACCGGTGTTTCCTAACAAGCCCTCTCCAATCCAGAGTCCAATAAGGACGTGCGGTCTTATGTGGTAATCCTCAGGGAAGAGACAACAGTAAAGGAAGCAACGCTGAAGAGTAGAGTCATTTAATTTATCATAACTGAACTCTAATATGCGGTACACTTCTTCCTCCATACCTGATAACTTGTATGGATTTTTCTTGAGCTTTGTCAGAGCATCCTTCCACTCGTGGGGTTTGTCTATGCCGGCCATGGCTCGCCCGACGGTAATAAGGGCTAGTGGCAACCCTTCGCACTCTTGGACAATGTCCTTGGCGA